TTAGACTCTTTCTGTCTTTTTCTAGAAGCACGTGAAAAAAAAAGGATCGAAATTAGTTTTAACTAACAGGGCTTCTTGCGGGCTCTGTTTGTCTATTTGTACCAAAGTTACACCAGCCTGCACCAGGTGCACCAAAAAGTCAGTTTGTCTCTGTCAGACCCATACAAAAAAAAAATATAGGAATAAACCTTGGATAAACAAACACGTTTGGTGTAGAAAGTGTCGCTTGGTGCCTTGTTGGTGCGAATAAACAAACAAAGCTAGTGAAACCAGGGACCACCGTTCTCTTCATAGCCATTATACTCGATGCGCTTTGCACTCAAATGCTTGAAAATCAGTTAGGTACAGGTGCATCAGGAAAAAGAGGCGAGGAAAATGAGAGCAGCTTCAGAGCGCCTGATTGCTCAAAGCGTGGCACCCGAAAGCAGCTCAGGCTCAGGTAATGGAGCAGAACTCGCCGATCATGGAGCAAAACGGAGCGAAACTCGGAGAACAGAATGAATATGATCAAACAAAATTTTAACTGGTGTAAGGGGGCTAGAAGAGATTCTTAGGAGCTCGTAGGTCATTCCAGGTAATGGAGCAAAACTTCCAAATTTTTACACGTGTTGCAAGGAGAGATTCCTGGGAGCTGTCTAGTTCATTCCAGAGCCGCTTTCGGGTGCAGTGTGCGAAGCACGAGCATTTCACGCCCATTATACTCAATGCGCTTTGCACTCGAACGCTTGAAAATCAGTTACAGGTGCTTCAGGGGAAACAGGCGAGGAAAGTGAAAGCAGCTTGAGAAACTATGTTCGCTCGAATGTGTAAAATTGGAGGCGGAGTATTTCGGACTAACTCGAAATTTCAAGTTTCAAAATTTTCACTGGGGGGCAAGAAGAGATTCTTTGGAGCTCTCTAGGTCATTCCTGGTAATATAGCAAAACTCGCCAATAATGGAGCAAAACGGAGCAAAACTCGGAGAACAGAATGGACATGTTCAAATTTTTCTAAACATTCACCGGGGGGGGGGGGGGGGGGGGGGGGGCTAGGAGAGATTTTTGGGAGGTATGTAGGTCTCTCCTGGTAATGGAGCAAAACTCGCCGATAGTGGAGCAAAATGGAGCAAAACTCGGAGAACAAAATGAGCATGATCAAATTTCAAAATTTTCACCGGGGGGGGCTGGGAGAGATTCTTTGAAGCTCTGTAGGTCTCTCCTGGTAATGGAGCAAAACTCGCCGATAGTGGAGCAAAATGGAGCAAAACTCGGACAACAAAATGAGCATGATCAAATTTCAAAATTTTCACCAGGGGGGGCTGGGAGAGATTCTTGGAAGCTCTGTAGGTCTCTCCTGGTAATGGAGCAAAACTCGCCGATAGTGGAGCAAAATGTAGCAAAACTCGGAGAAAAAAATGAGCATGATCAAATTTCTGAATTTTCACTGGGGGGGGCTAGCGTTAATTCAGCCCCCCCCCCACCTAATAGGCCACATAGTCTCTCCACTGTAATGGAGCAAAAATCGAAATTAGTGGAGCAAAATGGAGCAAAATGAGAGCAAAATTATGGGATAATTTTCATCCAGAAATTTTCTATGGGGGGGCTAACTTAACTGACCCTGAATATTCCCGATTTTTGATTGGCTCCAAATCATCCGCTGACCAATAGAATTATAGACTGGGTCCTGTGATTAAAATAACTCTAGCCCTTCGGGCTCGCGTATAACTCCGGCCCTTCGGGCTCGTATAACTGAGTATCCCAGATTCACAGATTTTTGTCGTGGAGGCGCGAGATTGATTGAAATATTATTGTCAGATTTTTCTAAATTACATTAAAATAGGTATCGAAATTTGGAAAGTATAATTTGTGCATTATTATTTTGATTAGGAATCAGAAATAAAAAACTGAGATTGAATTTTCAATTTTTTGGGGGAGGCTTAGCCTCCCCTGCCTCCTCTGACGAGCCGCCACTTGCCACAGATTTCATCTTGAAAGAAGCAGACGCATTTGTGATGGACAATCGAACCGGACAGACCAGTTTAATTCAACACAAAATTGATACACAGGAAGTGGAAAACCAAATTGATGAAATGCTTCAAGAGGGAATTATTGAAGAGTCAAATAGTCCATGGTCTGCGTCAGTAGTATTGGTTACAAAGAAAGATGGAAGTCTTAGATTTTGTGTGGACTACCGTAAGCTTAATGACGTCACCAAGAAGAACAGCTTTTCTCTTCCGAGGATGAACGATACATTAACAACTCTATCGAGCTCCAAATGGTTTTCTACCTTGGATCTTAAGAGTGGATACTGGCAAGTGGCAATACACAAAGATGACAAAGAGAAAACTGCCTTTAGTACCGTAAGCGGGTTATACCATTTTAATGTAATGCCTTTCGGATTGTGTAACGCTCCTGCTACGTTTGAGCGACTGATGCATCTAGTTTTGCGAGGCCTCACATGGAGAACTTGCCTGGTATATTTAGATGATGTCATAGTCTTGATCATGGGAAAATCGTTCCAAGAACATCTCAATAACCTTAAAGAAGTTTTTGACCGCTTCCGGAATGCCAACTTAAAAAAATCAATCCAAATAAGTGTTTTCTTTTAAAAAAAAAAGTGGAATTCTTAGGTCATGTGGTATCTGAAGATGGCATACAAGTTATGGAAGGAAAGATAGATGCTGTCAGGGATTGGCCAAAACCACGCGACAAACATGAACTGAGGAGTTTTCTAGGATTATGTTCTCATTATCGAAGATTTGTGGAAGTTTTCGCCAATATAGCTGCTCCACTTCATCGATTAACGGAAGAAAAATCAACATTCAATTGGACCAAGAATGCGATTCTGCATTTAGAAAATTAAAAGGAGCATTATGTACAAGCCCAGTTTTGTCCTATCCCGATCAGAAAGGCATGTTCATTTTGGACACAGATGCAAGCAACACAAATATTGAAGCTGTCCTTTCACAAATCCGAAATTCACAAGATCATGTCGTGGAGTACTACAGCAGAACCTTATCAAAGCCGGAACGAATTTAGTGTCACCAGTAGAGAGTTGCTTGCCATAGTAAAAGCAGTCGACCATTTCCATAAGTATCTCTACGGAAGTAAGTTTCTAATTCACGATCACGCGGCTCTAAAATGGCTTTTAGAAATGAAAACTCCCCAAGGACAGCTTGCTGGATGAATTGAGAAATTGCAGCAATACGATTTCCAAATTGAACATCGACCTGGAAACCTGCATAAAAATGCTGATGCTCTGTCTAGCACAGAAGACTGCAAGCATTGTCAAAGAATCGACATACATGAGAAAAATACTGGTTCGGCTGTGAGAAGAACGGGTCTGATCGTTGATAATAAATGGACTACCAAACAAATGAGAGCAGATTGAGAAGCAGACCAGGGCATCGGGCAATTTTTTACATCTTAAAGAAAATGATGAATGTAGGCCAGAATGGAGGGAAGTGTCGAACAAGAGTTTGATTGACAAGGCGTTGTGGGTTCAGTGGAGCTCTCTGGCCGTAGAAAATGGTTTACTGAAAAGAATTTCTCAAAGTGCTGATGGAAAATCTACTAAGAGCCAACTGGTTATTCCAAAAGATCGAGTAGAATATGATTGAAAGAAATACATGACGGAACTTCAGGGGCACATTTTGGAGTCAACAAGACTTTGGACAAAATTCAAGAACGTTTTTACTGGGTCCGCTATCATGAAGACGTTAAAAACTGGGGCCGGATAAGGGGCATCTGTGCTACCAGTAAAGGCCCTAAACTAAGATCTCGGGGCCCATGAAACAGTACAACATCGGTTCCCATTTGAAAGAATAGCGATGGATGTTGCCGGACCGTTCCCTGAGTCAGAGCGTGGTAACAATTAACAAAAACATCTTAGCTATCATGGATTACTTCAGTAAATGGCCAGAAGTTTCCGCTATTCCCAATCAAGAAGCCATCACTGTTGCCCAGGTGCTAGTGGACGAAGTTTTTAGTCGTCATGGTGTGCCACTAGAGTTACATTCAGACAAACACTTCACATTTACAATCTGATGGTATGGTAGAACGATTTAATAAGACCAGAGGAACACCTCACAAAAGTGGTCGCAAAGAACCAGCGAGATTGGGACAAATACTTGCCTCTATTTTTAATAGCTCACAGAGCAGCTGTTCACGAATCAACAGGTGAAAGTCCAGCTAGAATCGTTTTTGGAACGGAACTCAGGTTACCTTGCAATCTGATGTTTAAAATACCCTAAGAAGAACGAAAAGAAATTCGAGATTATGCCGACGAAGTAAGGGTACGACTTCTGGGTATACCTACATAATTTTGCTCAGGAGCATATTCAGCTGGCCAGTGACCGAATGAAGACCAGATACAACTTGAAAGCCAATTCAGCCGGATTTCAAGAAGGTGATTTGGTGTGGCTGTATAATCTGATAAGAAAGAGTGGAGTGTCGCCGCATGGGAAGGACCCTACAGAATGATCGAGAGGATCAATGATTTGGTTTATCGAGTTCGGCGCAACACTAGGAGTAAGATGAAAATTGTACATCTAGACAGATTGACGAAATATTATGGGCGTGAAGTTGATCGGGACGATCAACCTTAAGAGGATGGCAGGTGACGTTGGCGCATACGCCAGGGTGTCGAGAATCAAACCTAAAATTTACAAAATACTGCCTCATTCAGGAAAAAAAGAGTCTCTCGCGTTTGTTCTGGATTTTACAAGAATGGATTACGGATATATAACGGCCGGTATTAGTAGTTTTTAAGTTTAAGATTGGCTTGATACGTTTCAGATAGTGAATATTGTAAAGTTGAAAAGAATTAAGTTGTTTGAGTAAACTAGTGGAGTAATTAGTGTCAGAGTGTATAGTAACGTGGAATAAATTATTGTTGTATTGATTGGATTTTGATTTTGAAATAAACGAACCCAAGATTTCTGTCACGCACCCTAGAGCCGTATATACATGAAAGCAAATCAGTGAACTGCATGAAATATTATCAAAATTTTTGATACTCACTTTGAGTCCCACGGATCACCGCAAACACCGCATTTCCCCTCATTTTTCACCCATTGCCTCGTGAACCCTCCGCAATACAATTCATGATCATTGTAATTATGTGGAGTATCAAAGCCGTATCTCCAAGCCGACGCTCGTGAGGGTGGTTCTATGAGTCGACCGTGGCCTCGAACCCAATCTAATGCTGAAAGAAGAATCGTAGTCAGGAAGAGATGTCGGATTTCCATGTCCTATAAAAAAAAAATTAGATTTTAGGGTCATGTTTTAATAGTAAATGTGGGTTTGGTTGGATAACTAATAGACAGGTTGTTTGTAGGTGTTAAACGCAGATTCCATCTCCATAAACGCAAAAGTTAATAGGTTTATTAACTTTTTGTGGGCTGTTTAAAGAGTGTAATAAGCTAATAAGTAAATGGTTAGGCAGATTTATATCCTGAAATTTTTATTGAAAAAATCAAGTGGAATTATTTGATTGATTGTTGTTAGTGCTGCATTAAATAAGTGAAAAGCTAACTTGGGCATATCTTAAAAAGCACATATGCAAATGTGTCTAATCTGGGTACAATAATTCATATGTCGGTAATTTAAATTCAAACTGCTAGCCATGCAACAAATCAATAGTTTTAGAAAAAACTGAAAATGAATTCACTGTCCATTCTAAAATATTATGGTAGGTAAATGCTGCAATTTTGCATACCTAATGCAATTAATGCAATTAATACGAGTAACTGGAACCAAAGGTCGTTCAGTTCTTTTTTTGTTATTGCATGAAACGGTTAGTTTCAAGTTTTTTTAGATTTATAGATATCTACCTACTTTAAAATTGTTGCATATGAAATTATATCATAGACTGAGCGTGGAACTGAGTTTCAAAACCATGGTACTAGAGGGAATAGAGGAATACTAATAGTAGGTACAAGCATAAGCGGACTACATTCTTACTTCCTGGTCAGAAACAAAAAAATAAACCTGAGAAGGTATAAAAATTATACAGCTAAAGCTTGTTTTCCATTTTTGATACCTCTGAGCAAACATTTACGCTAATAAAAGTTCGCCTACAAGGTATAATTAAATTCCTCATCCTGTAGTAAATACGTTCTACTTCCAGTAATTATATACCATGTAACTACCTATGTATATGGCTACTTTATTTTTGAATATGTCACAATAACTAATAAAGCATTCATAATCAATCCGAATAGAACATTAAGGACATTAAATTAGTTTTTGTGCAACACACGAATTGCATGTCAATGAAAAAGGACATTGAAAAGCCGACCCATTGTAAAAGCAAAATTGCTGGTTGTAATTTCATGTCGTATGACCCTCCGGCCAAATACGGAACAATATTTTATTCGTGTGGCATATTAATTTTGCAAGACATAAGTTTAAAATGGGTATCTACATAAATTACTCAAACTCAAAAAAATTACATAGGTACTTTAAAATTTGTACACGTGTGAAAGAACTAAAAAATATCTTTTTAGATACGTACATACCTACTGGTAAAGTTAAAATCTAATCAACAGTATAGTAGTTCAGGATGTCAATTACAGTAACTGGAACACGGAATTTCTTGTTTCTCCTTGTGTGTGTGTGTTAAACCTCTTATGAAGACACCGTTACCTCACTATGAAAGACATATAAAATTTCGAATTATTTAACTTTTACATTAGGTATGATTTAATTATTATTAAGAAGAAATTCAACAAGAATAATTTAAACCCTTAGTATAAACCCGTACAACAGTTATTAAAATTCTCAACACCTGTATGAATGATGGGTAATTATTATTTTATGTATCGTAAAAAATCCAGTTTTGAGATATTGACCTTAAACTTCAACTGTATTTAAGTCGCCGGATACATTTGGGCTTAGTTTGAAAGACGTCAAAGGAACTACGTATTTACTTTTTTACGAGGTCAGAGAACCAAAAATTTGCGATTATTATTATTTCTATCAACCAACAAAAACCTGACTTTGAAGTAAAAAATTCCCTTCACTTGTGTCAGGTTCAGCAATTTCACAAAATAATCCGTAGGCAATATATTTTTTTTTGATATCAAGTATATTTGAAACTGAAAAGTGAAATTGTCCCAGATGGTATTTCCATAATTAGGTATTTTCTAAACATGTCGCATAATAGATTATATTGATTGATAATGGTCGTTTCTGGGTTCCCATATGAAAGTTTGAACTTGTAGCCGCTATGGTTGATTAATTTTAATTTTACTTTAAATCTTTCATACTTATGGTGAAAAAAAATATGTTGAAGCACTTGTATTTAAAGAATATTTGAAAGCTAATGAACTTTTAATGGATTTGAATATTTCGAAACCTTTTAATGGGTTTAGGCTAAAGGCCGAACGACTTTGCATAAAAGCTATACGAGCTAACTTCTACTGTTACGAACCCAGACAGCATAGAGGCATCTCAAAGACGTCCCTTAGATGGCCACAAACGACATTCAAGACGTCTGCTTACGTCTTAAAGACATCTTGAAGACGTCGTATATTACAAAACTCAAGGTCTTTCAGACGTCTTCAGGACTAATATTTTATTATTATTACTCAGTTTATAAATATCAATTTTTGTCTATTCCAAACGCTAGGCTCTTATATAGATTCCTGGTTCTTTTCAAACGAAAACATACACAAAATTCATTTTGGAAAAAAAACATTACATGAGTATTGAGTAAAAATTAAAAAACGAATCAAGAGTCTGAAATTCTAAAATACGGGATTAATGAGAATTCAAGAACATGGAATGGAAAAATTCAAGAGCCAAAAGAAAGTTAAGAATTTAGAATAAAGAAATAAGGAAAAATCAAGAGCATGGAATAGGGAAAATTATGAAAATTCAAGAATTTGAATTGAAAGAGAAACATGTTTTTGCTAATATTTCTTTATTATTAGGTACTCATTTTATAACAGTCAATTTTTGTCTATTCCAGGCGCTAGGCTCTCTGAAATAATTCTGATTTTTTAAAATTGTTCTAAAGCATTTCAAAATGCTTCTTAAAGTGTTTTGGAACGTTCTAAATGGCTTATTGAAGTTCTAAAGTGTTCTAACTTGGCTTGAAGAATTCTGGAGTATTTTAGAAGTTTTTCAGTAGGTAATTTCTAAATTGTTCTGACAGATTTTTAAGTATTTTAGAGCTTTATATTAAAGCTCCAAAGTGTTCTAAATTGGTACAAAAGAGTTATAAAAAAGGTTTCCCGTTCTAATAAATTGAATTCTAATAGTTGTTCTGATCTGAAATAACTCTGAAGTTTCCAAATTGTTCCAAAATACTCCTGAAAATTTTGATTTGGATTCTGAATCTAATCAGGGTAGGTACTATTCCTAAGGAAATGTTTCTGGCCACAGAAAAAGCGACCAACGCACATCTTTTTGGTGTTCATTTTTCCTCTGTCTATAACCCACAAGGTCGGTTTCTCAATGAGTCACCTCCGGGTTGGTTTCAACTCCAGAAACGTGTCCAGTAGTCAAATGTTTACCCTGGAAGTTATGCTTTACCTGGGGGTTACTTGCTATTGAGAAACCGGCCCCCAGAGAAATTTCAACGCCAGAACTTTTGCTAATCGATTTGAGATTTGTAACATTTTAAGTATAACTGTGGAGTACGGCTGGGATCTCGCTGTCCTTCTGTTAACTCATCTCAGCTTTTGATGAGGACTTGTAATGAAATAGTCTAGTCAATCTAGGTAGGTTTATGCAGGTGAGGTAGAAAAAATAAGTAACAAAGTGATCTCTGCGGAAATGAGTAGTCAATAGGGTCCTAATTAATCTCTCAAAAATCGCACTTTTTCGTATTGGTGGAAAAAAATGGCTACCATCTTGATTTTTTTCGAATTTATTGAATATTTCGTAAAGTATGCATTATATCAAAAAAACTCATGAGAACTTTTTTGTGGAGAATGAAAAGTTACTTGTAAAAAAGAAATTTCAACACTATTAACTAGATAACAAATAAGTTATCGAGATTTAATTTATTTAAAAATCTGGAAATTTTTGAACTTTAGGTAATATCGCGAAATGTATGCATTTTTCTAGTTAAACTTGAGAATGCCTTTTTGTAGAGGATTAAAGATATATTGAGATAAAAAAAAACAGTCATTATCGAAAAGTTTGGTGTCAAAGGTTTAAAGCCTGGTCTCAAGTTTCCAGTCTTCCTCTTCTATTACTGGGAAGGTTAAGGGACTTTTTATAGACCTTAAATAAGAATTTAATCTATTTGAATTACTTAGTGTCTACCCAGACAGTTCAAAGACATCTTAAGACGCCCCTAAGATGTCCACAAACAACATTCAAGACGTCTTTTAGACATCTGCTTGCATCTTCAAGGCGTCTTAAACACATCTTAAAAACCTCGTATATTACAAAACCCAACGTCTTTTAGATATTAGAGGTCTAAAGTTCTACAGCAATCTAAATTCGGTCTTAAAAGCCTTCTGGAAAGCGTTTTGTAACTTGTAACCTAAATCCTATGATTCTGCCGTTTTTCAAAATGTTTCTGGAGATTCTAGAGTGTTTGAGTGTTTTGGAGCACCCTAAAATGAATGCTTTGTTATAAAAATGCTTTTGGGAATTGTAAATCGGTTTTTGAATGTTTTGAGGCATTCTAATAATGGTTCTGGAGTTTCCAATATGTTTTGAAGCGCTACAGAATGCTTATGGAAGTTCTCGAGGAAATTCTGAATTAAATTTGAGGTGTTTTGAACTTTCGAAAAGGCTCATTGTTGAAGTTCTGAAGTATTTTGTAACATTCTAAATGATTTCCAGTAACTAATAAATTAAATGAAAAACGAATGCTGTCTGGGTAGGCTCCTGCCCAAATGTTTTTCTTGTCATATGTTTTTGTTGCCTCTCAAAAAAAATATTTTTAGATCATTTAAATTTATTGAATTTAGTTTTTCATTCTGCACAAAAAAAAAAGATTTGAACTTTTTCCAGATGTTTTGAAAAATTTCATATTGCCAAATGAAATAAATGTCAATAACTTTTTCGTTTTCTATCTTAAGGCCTGATTTCCTGGAACATTCGGTCGCGGAGAGCTGACAGTCTGTCGACCATAGCGATTTGACGATTTTATCCAACCAGAGCTTTTCAAATAAGTCTGGTTTCCTCGAATCCGCTTATCTGAGCGGGTCCGCTCCGTTCCGCGAATATGTGGCAGCTCAGGTAAGCGGATTCAAGGAAACCAGACTTATGTGAAAAGCTCTGGTTG